ACATGTTTCAGTGTTGGTGTTATACAGTCTATATTGTGTGTGGTGAGAAGGGAGCAATTGTATGTAATATTTTTATTAAAGGGACTTTCCAGTGCCAGGAAAACAATCAGTTTTCCTGGCACTGCAGGTCCCCTACCACCTCCCAATCCCCGGTTGTTGAAGGGGTAAAAACCCCTTCAGTGACTTACCAGAGGCAGCAACATGTCCCACGTCGCTGCTTCTTCCTCCGTCGCCACTCCTCCTCTTCATTACGTCGGCCGGTGGGCGAGACTGATCCCGCCCGCCGGCCGGGGAGACCTAATGAACATGCACGGCAATGCCGCGCATGCGCATTAGAGCTGTCCATAGGAAAGCATTGAAAAATGCATTTCAATGCTTTCCTATGGGGAATTGAGTGATGCTGTAGGTCCTCACACAGCATGAGGACGTCAAGCAACACTCCAGCACAGGTTTTCTGTGCTACAAATGCAGGAAGTGCCCTCTAGTGGCTGTCTAGTAGACAGCCACTAGAGGTGAAGTTAACCCTGCAAGGTAATTATTGCAGTTTATATAAAACTGCAATAATTACACTTGCAGGGTTAAGGGTAGTGAGAGTTGGCACCCACACCACTCCAAAGGGCAGAAGTGGTCTGGGTGCCTGGAGTGTCCCTTAAACAAAAAAAAAACAAAAAAAACACAAACTAAAAAATGGTATATTACTCCAACCCTTGTCCTTACATTTGCCCAGTGAAGGGGAAGGGGGGTGGGGAGAGGAGCATTGCAAACCCAGGTGGTCAGTGCCATCTTAACAACATTATGGGGCCCCAGGCAAATCAGTGCACTGGGGTCCTGCCTACACACAACTCACATGAATAAAAATTTAAATTATAGAGACACTTAAGCTTATATGTATACGTAGCTCCATAAAATTCAATACATACACACCGACTGCTGAATACACAAACATTCTCATGATCAAAAGATCTCCACTTTTGACCGTGCACACTTGGCAGTGCGGTGGGGCCCTCATGCCTGTGGGGCCCCCAGACAACTGCCCAGTGTGCCCACGTGGAAAGACAGCCCTACTGGTGTTCCAATGGTGTTGAGACTCTGGTCTGCAGCTTCTCCCGGTGCAGGCCGAATACTCTCCTCTTGTGAGATCCGGCTATGTACTGTGTTGGAGCACTGCTGTGATAACCACAGCAATGCTCTCTGCTCACGAGAGTACTATTCAGTAGCCCTTCAACTAAGTGTGAATGGGCCAGTGTTTACCCATTGGCCCAAGAAGCCAGACAGCAACACTATCACTGCATGGGGGGAAAAGTGTGATTCAGTGATCTTCCCTGTCGGCCTCGGCCCATGTCCATCACGTCCCACCAGGACCGGTGCAAGGATTTTTGCCGCCCTAGGCAAAAGAAACATTTGCTGCCAACCCCCCCATGTGACTTCACAATGCCCCACCCATATGATCTGCCATATGAACTAATGCCAGTGCTGCACACAGTGTGTGTTTACATTAAAAAGCCTGCAGTGACAGGCTATAGACACCAGAACCACTCCATTAAGCTGCAGTGGTACTGGGGACTATAGTGTCCCTTTAATGTGAAGTAAATTGGAGATTAGTGTCACTAATAATATACTAGATTGCCTACTTACACCCAGATGAGGATGGTGATGTGCTCTGGCTGCAGTTTGGCTCCACTGGTCTGGTGTAGAACAGGATCTCTGGAGGCTATTTGTAACTGTGGTCACAAAATTCAATGTTCTGGGAGAACGGGAAGCAGCTTCATTTTTTGGGGCCCCTTACACAACTCAAGGTCTGGGCCCCAGGGCCTGACTGTGAGTATGCTCATCCATAAGTCCACCTACATGTTCCACCCATGAGTGCGCTCACAGGGAGTGCAGTGTGTAGGGGATGTGTTGTGTCATTGTAGAGGATCTAATGTGTGTGCTTGTGGAATGTAGTATATAGGGATACCAGTTTGTGTAAGTAATGCAGTGTGTTTGGGATGTATTGTGTGTAATGGATGCATTGTGTGTTTCTTTGTGTGTAAGGGAAGCAGGTTGTGTTTCTGTGTGTGTGTAGGGATGCATTGTGTGTGTGTGTGCACGTAGTGTAAAAGAGCTCCTTGTCCTGCACCCGGTCATATAGAGCTCTCCCTTCCATCCCTTAAAGCTCTCCCCTCACCCTCCTCTAGCGGTCTCTTCTCACCCCCCCCCTCCCTGTATTCTTCTCATCCTCTCCCTCCCTGTGTTCTTCTCCCCTCTGCCCCCCTGTGTTTTTCACACAACACCCACCCTCCCTGTGTTCTTCAATAGAGTGCTCAGGCGTCTGCAGCATTAGGGCCGGCGATGAGGGTGCAGGGCGCCCCCTCCTATATCTCCTATATTGCGCCCTTGGTGGCTGCCTAGTTCACGTCATAGGAAGCGCCGGCCATGCGTCCCACCAACATTTGTCCCATAGCCAGACAGGTGTATGAACACTTCTTTAGACTGGTTATGGAAATTATGATATTGACACAAAAAGGTCACTTCCAACCCCTCAAAACAGACAAGGGTACCATTTACACTCATCGTATGCAAGCAGAACTGTACGGTGACAGGATTTATGAAGGCACCTATTTATTGTGTTAGAAAGTCAAAGCAGACCGGTTTCCAGTTTTCTTTACTTACATAGTTATTGCTTGCCTTAAAAAGAGTATGGAAAGAGAGGTGCATAATATTGTATTGCAACAAACATGGAAGTGATAAGATAAAAGTAAAATAATAATTTAAATAGCTGGTGTGAACAAATGTATACGTAGGACTTGTTATTGGCATTCTATTCACCCTCTGCTGCTTTCTCATGTGTTTTCAGTTATAAAGGTCAATATGTAGTATAATATTGATCAGCTAGATATCCAACTGACATGAAAGGTCAAACACATACGTGAAATTATATATATATATATATATATATATATATATATATATATATATATATATATATACAACTGTCAAAAATGACCTACCAGGCACTCAATAAACCCTTCTGTAACAAACTATTTAATTCCCCTACTTTAAACCTTTGTGTCACTATACCCCACTCCCTCTAGCATGTAAGCTCATCGAGCAGGGTCCTCAACCCCTTCTGTTCCTGTACGTCAGTGGTCTGATCTCAATTATGTGTCTGTTAGTCCACCTATTGTACAGCGCTACGGAATTTGTTGGCGCTATATAAATAATAAAATTATATATATATATATATATATATATATATATATAAAAACAGATAAAATTTGTATCTTGTAATACCTTTTTTATTGGCCTAACAGAATTTTTTAATGACAAGCTTTTGGGAGAACCTCCCTTTCTCAAGTCTGAAGCATTTCTGAGCAAAACTACACATAGAATTCCAAGTTGAGTTGTGATACAGGGGTTAAAGCGACATGAGTGTAGATAAGACACAGGTTTGTTAGAAAATAGACACCATCTTAGCAGAGGGTCATAAATATTTTTTTTAAGAGCAGAGTGAGGGGGGAGAGAGGGAAAAGAAAAACAAACAGACAGTGCAGAGGATGGTACACTTTATACATGCACACACACATAAATATGTATATGTGAACGCATAAACACATGTACATATACATTTACATAAACACATATACATACATGCACATGAACTCATATACACAAATATAAATGCACAGTAATATATAAGCATACATGCATACGAGTATGGGAAAGCATAGGTCTACACATGGTACTTTGTATATAGATAGAATAAACATATAGGAATGCATTTTAAAGTGTTGGTACATATGACAGAATAGTAAGATAATGCTGGGAGAGTGTTCATGTAAAGTGTTGGTAGTGGGACAGGAATCCCAAATCAATATTTAGTCCTATATTCTTACTGTTAAACCATTTAATCATTCTGGCTTCAAAGGCTTTTCTTTCCTGGGTATTTTTAAAAACCCCTTTCGGTACTTAGATTTTTAGGTCTCTCAGTGAGTGGCCAGGCTGGGTAAAGTGGTGTCCCACAGGAGTGCAGTAGGATTCTTCTTTGTGGTGTTTAATAGAGTGTCTGTGCATATTCATTCTGCCATTTAATGGCTGGGTGGTTATCCCAATGTAGCATCCTAGGTGGCATTTTATGCATTGAATAATGTATACCACATTTCTGGATGTGCAGGAGTATGAACCTTTAATGCTGTAGGTTTTATTGTTGTGTGTGGCTGTGTTGTCTGTGCATATGTGCTGACACAGTTTGCAGCGAGATTTTTTGCATTGACTGGTCCCATTTTCTTCATTCTTACCATCAGTGGGCAGCTTTCAACACTAACAGCTTCATAAAAGACGTAACCGACTTCCTCAACAAACTCAGCCAACTCACCAATCTCCCTGCTAACACCATCCTTGTAACCATGGATGTGGAATTTATATACATCAACATTCCACAAACAGATGGCATCAATGCTTGCTTCCATTTTCTCTCTCATGTCAACAACCAAAAATACAGCCCCCGAATTATCACAGAACTTGCACTATTTATCCTCACACATAACTACTTCAGTTTCAACAATGAGGTTTACCTACAAGCAATGGGCACTACTATGGGCACTAAGATGGCACCCCAATATGCTAATCTGTTTATGGCAGATCTTGAACAGAGATTCCTAGAAATTCAACACACCAAACCATACAAATATTATCGCTATGTTGATATCTTCATAATTTGGACTGAAAGCGAAGAAAAACTGATACAGTTCCATGACTCTTTCAACACATTCCATCCATCAATCAAACTAAAAATGGAATATTCCACTAGATCTGTGAATTTTCTGGACACCACTGTGACATGTAACAATGGCACAATCCACACCTCGGTTTACAGAAAACCCACAGACAGGTGCAGTTACCTACACAGCTCCAGCTTCCACCCCTCTCATACTAAACAGGGCATCATCTACAGCCAAGCCACTAGGTACCATCGCATATGCTCTGATCCTAATTGCCATTGAAATGTACTCTCCCAATCTATGAGACAGAAAGGCTACAAACCAAAGACCATTACCAAACAAATCAACTCTGCTGTAAAAACGCCACGCACACACCTGCTACAGTACAAAGAGAAAAAAATATCCACACGAGTGCCACTTGTGGTCACCTACAACCCAGCTCTTGAGGAAATACGGAAAATCATCAAAGACCTACATCCAATATTAACAGAAGATGAGACTCTGAAAAACATTTTCCCTGAAACACTCATTTTGGCCTTTAGACAACCACCAAACCTCCAACAAAAATTAATCAACAGGAAGCTGCCCACTGATGGTAAGAATGAAGAAAATAGGACCAGTCAATGCAAAAAAACCTCACTGCAAACTGTCAGCACATATGCACAGACAACACAGCCACACACAACAATAAAACCTACAGCATTAAAGGTTCATACTCCTGCACATCCAGCAATATGGTATACATGATTCAATGCATAAAATGCCACCTAGGATGCTACACTGGGGAAACCACCCAGCCATTAACCCATTAAGACCGGAGGGTGTACTATTACTCCCTATTTTAGGCGGCTCTAAAGGCCAACGCCGGCAATCGCGGTTGCGGGGACTCCCAGTGAGCCCCCCGCGGCACGTCCGACCCCCTGGCAGCCCCCCGGCCATGTGAGAGTGAGGTCCTTGCGAGGACCTCAAAATCACATGGCCGGGATAGCTGCCTGCTGTATTGCCAGCAGGGGGGCTGCCTGTAATGACAGGTGGTCCCCCTGCTGGCTGGAAATAAAATAAAATACAATTTAAAAAAGTTAAAAAGTGTAAAAAAAAAAATATATATATACTTAGATCAACTGTAAACACATATCCATACACACACACACTGTCTATGTGTATTTTACTATTAATATATATATATATATATATATATATATATATATATTAATATCAAATTACACGTAGACTGATATTGATTAAATATATATATAATTATTGTTAAATATATATATAATTATTGTTATATATATTTATATATAATATAAAAAAAAAATATGTAAATACGTTAAAAAATAAAATTACAAAAATTATTTAAAAAATTATTAAAAAATATATAGATGTGTGTTATTTCGTTCTAACTGTGTTGTGATAATATATATATATATATATATATATTTATATCAAAATACACATAGAATGAAATAATATATATATATATCTATATAAATATATACCTATATATCACTCTATATATACCTATATATATAAATAAAAATATTGTAAAAAAATTATATATATATATATATATACATATATATTCACATACGTATATATATATACATATATTAATTCTACATATATATTTATGTAATATTTTTACATAATTAGGTATCTTATTTAATTACAATTAGCAGGACCTGCCTGACAACCCATGCCGAAAGTAAAGGGAATTTAATTTAGTAGCACTATATTTAACCCTATAATTTTTCAAGATACCATAAAACCTGTACATGGGGGGTACTGTTCTACTCGGGAGACGTTGCTGAACACAAATATTAGTGTTTCAAAACCGTAAAATGTATTACAACGATGATATCGCCAGTAAAAGTGAAGTTTTTTGCATTTTTCACACACAAACAGCACTTACACGGACGATATTATTGCTGCGATACTTTTTACTGTTTTGAAACACAAATATTTGTGTTCAGCGAAGTCTCCTGAGTACAACAGTACCCCTCATGTACAGGTTTTATGGTGTTTTCAAAAGTTACAGTGTCAAATATAAGGCTTGTGATTCATTTTTTTCACATTAAAATTCGCCAGATTGGTTACGTTGCCTTTGAGACCCTATGGTAGCCCAAAAATGAAAATTACCCCTATGATGGCATACCATTTGCAATAGTAGACAACCCAAGGTATTGCAAAATTGTCCAGTCTTTTTTAGTAGCCACTTAGTCACAAACACTGGCCAAATTGGCATTTTTCATACACAAACAAATACTAAACCTAACTTTGGCCAGTGGCTACTAAAATGGCTACTAAAAAAGACTGGACATACCCCATTTGCAATACCTTGGGTTGTCTACTATTGCAAATGATATGCCATTATGGGTGTAAATTTCATTCCTGGGCTACTATAAAGTCCCAAAGACAATGTAACCAATCTGGCGAATTTCAATTTCAAATGTAACGTGCTATATTTGACCCTGTAACTTCCCAAAACGCCATAAAACCTGTTTTACACATGAGACTTTGCTGAATACAAATATGTGTATTTTATTGCAGTAAAAGCAAACAGTATTATGACATTGACCGTTAAAATGTCATGTAGAACTAAAAAAATCAAAACAAATCTTTTCTCCCATTTTTTCATATTAAATTATGTTTCATAGCTAAATATTTGATATTAAATGAAAGCCCTGTTTCCCCTGAATAAAATGATATATAATAAGGGTGGGTGTATTTAATATGAAAGAGGTGAATTACAGTTGGACAGACATGTAGCGGAAATGCCAGGTTTTGTTTACATTTTGTTTCGTTCAGAACGTGTACATTTGGCTCAGTCCTTAAGGGGTTAAATGGCAGAATTAATATGCACAGACACTATATTAAACACCACAAAGAAGAATCCTACTGCACTCCTGTGGGACACCACTTTACCCAGCCTGGCCACACACTGAAGGACCTACAAATCTAAGTACTGAAAGGGGGTTTTAAAAATACCCAGGAAAGAAAAGCCTTTGAAGCCAGAATGATTAAATGGTTTAACAGCAAGAATATAGGACTAAATATTGATTTGGGGTTCCTGTCCCAACACATATACATATTTATGTGTGTGTGCATGTATAAAGTGTACCATCCTCTGCACTGCCTGTTTGTTTATCTTTTCCCTCTCTCCCCCCTCACTCTGCTCTTAAAAAAATATTTATGACCCCCTGCTAAGATGGTGTCTATTTTCTAACAAACCTGTGTCTTATCTACACTCATGTCGCTTTAACCCCTGTATCACAACTCAACTTTGAATTCTATGTGTAGTCTTGCTCAGAAATGCTTCAGACTTGAGAAAGGGAGGTTCTCCCGAAAGCTTGTCATTAAAAATTGTTAGTCCAATAAAAAAGGCATTACAAGATACAAATTTTATCTGTTTTTTTTACATCTACATCACTGGACTAATACCGCTACAATCTCTACTTAAAGGACCACTCTAGGCACCCAGACCACTTCAGCTTAATGAAGTGGTCTGGGTGCCAGGTCCAGCTAGGGTTAACCCATTTTTTAATAAACATAGCAGTTTCAGAGAAACTGCTATGTTTATGAATGGGTTAACTTCCCTCTAGTGGCTGTCTCATTGACAGCCACTAGGCGCTGCTTCTCACTGTGATTTTCACAGTGAGAGCAAGCGTCATAGAAAGCATTGTAAATGCTTTCCTATGCGACGGGCTGAATGCGCGCGCAGCTCTTGCCGCGCGTGTGCATTCAGCCCAGGAGGAGGATCGGAGGAGGAGAGGAGGCAGAGAGCTCCCCGCCCAGCGCTGGAAAAAGGTAAGTTTTTAACCCTTTCCCCTTTCCAGAGCCGGGCGGGAGGGGGTCCCTGAGGGTGGGGTACACCCCTGATAGCCCTGATCAGGGTAAATAACATATTCAAAACTCACCCAGATCGGATCAGGGGTTCAGGAGTTATGGGGGTTTAAAGTTTTGTGGAGGTCCCTTTAGGTCCACTGAAGCATGGCTTTCCAGCCCAGACTTTCCAGCCCAAACCAGTTCCAACTAGTCTGGCAGTGTGCCCGGGACAATGCCCTGCTGGAGAACAATGGGACAGGAAACACAATCTATACACAGTCTAATAGAAGTCCATACCTAGTTACTTAGAGTTTTGTGTACTCCAGGCACAGGAACATCTCTGCAGGGCCAACAATCAATAAAAGGGAATGGGACAGCAAAAAGGGGTTCCGCTACACTGCTCCCCCTTGCCCACAAGCCGGCATACACAGTCAGATCTATTACGGATCGACTTGGGGATGTCCGTGGATGCTCATGAATCATTTTTCCAATTAAGTCTGTCTTGACAACCCATCAGCATTTCCATTCTGTTTCCCCGGGCAGTATTGTATATTAAAGTCAAAGGGCTGCAGTGCCAAACTCCAGCGCAGCAGCCTGGCATTGTCCCTAGCCACCCGGCTCAACCATACTAACAGGTTGTGATCCGTGAGCAACGAAAATGGCTGTCCATACAAGTATGGTCGTAATATCTTCAGGGCCCACACCACGGCCAGGCATTCATTTTCGATGGCGGCGTAGCTTACTTCTCTTGGTAACAATTTTCTACTGATGTAAGCCACGGGATGTTCTCCGCCATCTGCCCCGACTTGGCTCAGTACTGCCCCCAGTCCAAACATAGAAGCGTCTGTGTGGACAAGAAAACCTTTAGTTGGATCAGGGGCTGCCAAGACGGGAGCATTTACCAGTGCGTTCTTCAGCTGGTGGAATACCTGCTCACACTCCGGGGTTCAGGTGACCTGACGGGGGAAGGTTTTTACGGGTAAGGTCAGTAAGGGGTTTGGCCAGGGTGCTATAATTGGGCACAAACTTCCTATAATACCATGCCGTCCCTAAAAAGTTTTGGTCCTAGGGGTTGGCCACTGAGCTACGGCCTCTACCTTTGCGGGTTCTGGGTTCTGCATACATCAACCTACTCTGTGACCGAGGTACTGAACCTCAGCCATCCCAATACTGCACTTGGCTGGCTCTAACGTTAACCCTGCCTCCCTGATCCTGTCTATAACCACCCCTATATGGGTTAGGTGCTCCTGCCAGGTATTGCTGAAGATGGCAATATCATCCAGATAAGCACAGGTATAGTCTTGGAACCCATCTAGGGGATAGTCTACCATCCGCTGGAACGTGGCTGGGGCGTTCTTCATCCCAAGCGGCATTACCTTAAATTGGTACTAGCCGAATGGTGTGACGAAGGCAGACTTAGGCATAGCGTCTGGGGCTAAAGGAATCTGCCAATACCCCTTACAAAGATCAGTTGTAGTGAGGTATTGGCCCCTAGCCATCCGGTCCAGCAATTTGTCTATCCTGGGCATAGGATATGCGTCAGATACGGTTTTCTCATTTAATCTCCGGTAGTCCACGCAGAAATGGGTGGTACCATCCCGTTTCGGTACCAGGACTACCGGAGAAGCCCAAGGGCTGTCAGAAGGCTCAATGACTCCCAGTTGGAGCATCTCATTGATCTCCTGGCGTATGTGTTCCCGCACCACCTCTGGTATGCGGTATGGGGTTTGGCGCATAGGTAACTGGCCTGGGGTTTCTACGCGGTGAGTTGCCAGGGGCGTGTAACCTGGTACATTAGAGAAGGATTCTTGTTTTTCCCTCAGCAACTGTTGTACCTCACTACGCTCCTGAGGACTCAGCCGCTCCCCCAGCTTAACCTCGGCTATGTCGCTACCTGATTTCCTGTCCTCTAGCAGGTCTGG